TCAGATTGTAGATCTAATCCAAGGGTTGAAAATTGGTCTTACAGATCTCACGAAAAACTTTTGGTCTCATATGATTCCAAGTCTATGTATATGTGTGTGTGTGTGTGCGCGCGCTAATACTATATTATAAAACATTTGAGAAAAACTCTTAAAAACCATTTTTTATGCATGAAATATTGTTTATTGATGCATATTACTTACAATTCAAGATTACAAGTAATTTTGCGTATGTACAACTTATTAAATTTGTGTAACTAACTGCAGATAAACACAATCAAAGGATACATCCATTTTAAATATGGAAAATCTAAAATATAATTAAGATAATCATTTAGTTCTAACAGAATGTTTAATTATTATCTTTATGAAAAACTATATTATTAAACCAAAAATAAATTACTTTGTTATTAAATATAAATTAAATTATAATAAAAAATTGAATTAAAGAAGTTACACCAAAAAAAGGAGAACTATTAAATAGTTAATTTGATACTAATATCGATTTTATTTTTTCAAATAATATATTATCTTTGAATTTATATTTCATTCAAAAATAAAAATATTATCGCTATCTCAAAACCACATAAAATCATATTATATCAATAGAGACAAAGAATAAAAACTAAACATTAAAATGAAGATTTATCTCGCTGCATTGTGCGAGTACCCTTCTAGTATATACTAGTTGTGTACCCGTGCAATGCGGCGGGAGCCATGAATTTTAAAGATTTTGAAATTTCACTGGTTTTATAAGATAAGATTTTAACAATGATATAGGTTACACTTGGTCTTTACATATTAATACAATTTGAATAAATAAGAGTTATAGTTCCAATTACAGACTATCGATGAAAAAAATTGTATGACAGTTTAAAATCCAATATATTTAAACGACTCCACAAATGTGTTCGATTTACACCAAGAGCAAAAAACCAAGAAACTTGAGTTTTAAGATAAACACTCAAAACCAATAAAGAAAACTACAAATTTAATAGATCATAAGCCATGAAAAGACCAAAAAAGATGAGTTTTAGAATGAAATTTCAACTGTTTACCCTCTTTCTTGTCCAGAAACTCATATTAAGGTTGAATTAATACATGTATATATATATATATATATTTAAAAAAAACCCAAGAACATATTATATAGTGCAATTTGGACAGCCTAACCCCAAAATATATAGTATATATATAAATAAATAACTATAAAATTATAAATCGTAAATATTAAAAATATTTTTTCACAGTATATATAATATATAATAATATAATTAAATCAAAAACTATTCAATATTTGACTCATTTCGAAGGCATTAAATAGACGATTATAATTGTGTAACTTGTTAAAATAAAAATGTATTTTTTAAACATGTTTTAATTGATATACGATTATGTATATTAATTTGATAAAGATTTAAAATGAAACATTTAAAAGTAAATGACGTAAAGTAAATTAATTAACTAATTATAGAGGTATAAAGTGTAAATTTAAAATTATAATTTAAAAAAAATGGGTTGTGAGAGGGTGAGTGTATGTGAGGGGGTGAGTGCATATGAGGAGAGGAGGGGGTGAAAATGTATAAAAGGTATCTTGGTCATTTAGTATTTTAAGACTTTAAGACTTTTGCTAAATTTGTTTTATAAGATAGTATAGATAAGCATGTTAAACGGTTTTGTGTTGAAAATTAAGACGTACTACCCCTTATGCACCGTGTACAAGTTTTGAAGCTAAACATCTCCCATGAAACTTCCACGTTTTAAAGATAATATTAAAATCAAATTATTTTTAATTTTTAAGTTATATTTTACACCCTTATAGTTAGTTATTTAATTTATTTTATATCTCTTTCCTTTTTATTTTTTATTTTACACAATTATTATATCATCATACATAATCATATATTAACTAAAATATATTTTAAAAAAATATGTTTCACTTTTTACAAATTATACAATTATAATCGCTTCATCAATGCCTTCAGAATAAGCCAAATATTGAATATTTTTCGATTTAATCTCATATTATTAAATAACATAAATACGTATTGAATTATTTTTAAAACATTCATTTTATACCTTATAGTTATCGTATTTAATTTGTTTTATATTTCTTATTTTTTTCATTTCTATTTTACACCCTTAATTTATAAATTTAAAGTTGTAGAATTCGTAACTTTAAATCTTCACATCCCAAAATAATATTAAAGATCAAATATTTTTTTTTTAAATTACAATTTATACTCTTATAATCAGTTATATAATTTGTTTCATACCACTTACTTTTCCAATTTTTTTATTTTACATTTTTATCATATTAAAATAAATAATTGTATATGAACTAAAATGCATTTAAAAATACGTTTTTTTACAAATTACGCAATTATAATCGTCTAACCAATACCTTCGAATTGAAC